GATGGGGGCCTGGAGCAACCTGGTCTAGTGGAAGGTGTCCCTGTCCCTGGAATAGGGGTTGGAACTGGATGGCCTTTAAGGTTCCTTCCAGCCTAAACCATTCTGTGACTCTACAACAAGTATCTCAGGCTTCAAACAGCACCTTCAGCATCCATGGGGATACCAGAAACATAATGGACACCTTCAGCATGGGACCAAGCTCCCAGCTCCTGCTGCATGGAGCAGCAGGTCACCCACAGAGCAGTCCCAACTGTACCCAAAGGTGGTTTTGCTGGAACAAAAGCAAAGGCCACAGAAACAGGTTGATTTTTTTTCTTTTTTTCCCCTAAGATATGACTAAACTCCATGAGCTGGTAGTGCCTCAGCATCCTGCAAGCATCCTGCAAGCGATGCTTTCAACAAGAAGGAACAAAAGGCTGTGACAGGGAGGGGAATGGTGGGAAACCTTAAGGGCTCCCAAGCTTCATTTGAGACCTGGTGTTTGCAGCACAGGCCGTATTTCATCCTTTCATAAGTAACTCTTACCAGGAAACATTACAAAAAAGGGGGCATTTCAAGGCAGAAAAGTTGGTCTACAAACGTCATTTTACTATTTTTTTTTTAAATCTTTTGTTAGCAACTCTTCTGGGGAGCGAATCCAGCAGAGGCAATACAGTGCAACGTGCACTCCTAAATTAGTTTCCAGGCACTCGGGATGCTTTATTATTCATTTCCTCCAAATATTAGGCAATGCCTTTCGCCCCTTTCAAAGTCTGTACGAGGGGTCCTTTGATGCATTGTGGGACTTGAAAGTTTCAGGTCTAAAGAAGCATTTCTTTTAAGTCCTCCCTTTTATCAAGCATATTCTGTTCTGTTCGCTGTAATGCACACAATGGCATGAGAGTCCTGACCTGCTTCATGTCTGATGAGCCGAAATCTCAGATGCACGGGATAAAACAGCCATTCCTGGCAACACAGCTTAAACACTTAGGGCTCTATTCAGGCAAATATTACCCAGGGGTCTACCACACCGCTGAAAAGCTGCAGAAATTGGCTCCGTAGACGGCTGACCAATTCAGTGGTGAGGAATGACCCCGCTACATTAACTCCCCTTTTCATTTCACCCCGGGCGAGCCGGGGTCTGGAGGCAACCGCAGCAGGAGGCGAGAGCCGGCTGAAGCCAGATTCGTTTTCTTTCTATAAAGTACTTTTTTTGTGTGCGTGTGTGTGACCGTGAATGTCATTATGAGGATCTGCAAAAGGAGGAGAGGAATGGCATTGGGGCAGAGGCGCAGGAATCAGCGAGGATTCTGTCCTGTGGTGACGCCGCGGCGCTGCCGCCTCTCCTGGAGAAGCAAAAACTTGTGGTCCTTGAGACGCTGCAAATGTCTCAGACAACCAGGTCTCTGCCTCTGCTGAAGGTGTGTGGGACTTCACACCACGTGGTCTCCTCCATGTGTCAACCAGAATTAATACCACTTGTTCCACAATAACTTATCTTGTTTACAGGGGTTTTTTTTCCCCTCTTTTTCCTGTTAACTGCAAGCTCACTCAGAGGTGGCCCCTGCCCAATAATATACTGGACCCAGAAGAGGGATGCAAAGTGAAACCTATCCTTGCAAAAGCAAGCACATCTCAGTAAAAAAATTCAATGTTTTTGTCCTTTAGACAACCGCACCAACATGTTTCTTACGGAAGTACCAGGTGGCTATTTTAGGATTTTAATCTCCTCTTATCAATCTCCTCTTGACAGGTTAGAACTGGGAAAGATTTTTTTAAAGGGTGATCTTGAAATAACTGGGTAGAATTTAATGTAAGGGCTGGAGAGGTCCTAAATGGGTTGAAGCTGCTGAAATTTGCCTTGCATGTTCTATACCCTAGGAGCAAAAGATGTGTCTAGAACAACTCAGCAAAGGAGTGTTCAGACCACGTGGGAAGATGTTTGTAAGAGAGACTGGTCCTTTTTTTATGACTCTGCTTGTCTGCCCCAGTGTTACATCTTGGTATGCAATCCCAGTCTGTCACCCTAAAACCAGTCTTGATAATCCCAAAATTTCACTGGGAAGACCATTTCTTAAGCCATATAAAAAGGAAGAAGTTAATTTTTCACGAGTAAAACCTAGCTATGTCTTTCCTGATACTGGCAAAACACCCAGCAGCATCTCCAGAGCCTGTAAAAATGGGAATATGTGCATCTGCTCTAAAAGCGAATCTAATCCACAAGGATACAATCTCCCAACACATCCTTTTCCTCCAGGATGCTGCAGACTCAGAGAGATGAGCACGAACCTGATTTTAAAAGAATGCTGAGCATCTCCCCCATTGCTGGCATGGCAGTAGCAGCAACAGGTACCAAAAATAATATGATAAAGACTGGACAGGGCTCTGAGCAACCTGGTCTAGTTGAAGATGTGCCTGCTTATTGCAGTGGGGGTGGACTAGATGCCTCTTAAAGGTCACTTCCAACCCAGACTATTCTATTCTATTCTATTCTATTCTATTCTATTCTATTCTATTCTATTCTATTCTATTCTATTCTATTCTATTCTATTCTATTCTATTCTATTCTATTCTATTCTATTCTATTCTATTCTATTCTATTCTATTCTATTCTATTCTATTCTATTCTATTCTATTCTATTCTATTCTATTCTATTCTATTCTATTCTATTCTATTCTATTCCATTCCATTCCATTCCATTCCATTCCATTCCATTCCATTCCATTCCATTCCATTCTATTCTTATCTTTCACATTACCACCCTGGTTAGGAGGGTTTTTAGGAGCCCTCTTAAGCATCCTTATTAAAATAAAACCAGGACATACGGGGTTTGTGCCCTGTGTGTGAGTGCTGCAGTGCTGGTCTGCCGGAGGGGAGCTGACAAGTCATTATTGTCTGTCCTACAAATCCTCTGAGCCAACAAGGAAATTCCAACAATGCGATGATTTATCAGTTTGCAGGTTGCAATTCTTTCAATCGAGATAACAATTCTACTCCTCTGTGGTAAATGAGAGTTTTTGTTTGGGGGCTCTGGCAGGAGCGGAGCCGGCACATGGATGGGACTCATCGCTCACGAGTCAGCAGAAAGATGCTGATGGGAGCGTCTGCACAAATTTTAAGGAGCCTGAAATGGCTCCTTTGAGAGGATGAGACAGAAGAAAAGGAGGAAAACTGCAGGAGAAACGAAATCTATTTGTAAACCCCAGGCAGAGCTGACACGAGGCAGCCAGCACAGGAGTGGAAAGATGATAATGGAGCATGATGGATAGTTCACAGGATTGTTAGATACCCTCCAACTCAAATATGCTGAGGAGACAATTATTTAACGCTAAAGACAGTGCAAACGGATGTTTAATAAGCTGAATCACTTCAGGATTGCTGGAGCACGAGGGACCAAACCCCTGTTGGTGTAAATCAGGAAAGCCAGCATGATAAAATATCCTGTGCTCCAGATACACACTGGTCCTCCATCTCTGCCAGGAGAGCAGGGGTGCGGGGAGGGGAAATGCAGCAAATTTAGGAGCAGATGGGTGCAAGGGGTCCCTGGGGTGGGGGACCACAGTCCACCAACCCCAGGCTGGTGATGGCTCTCAGTTCTGCAGCTGGTGGCCTTCCAGGCTGCCCTGTTTACAGACAAGGGGGTTGCCTCTCCCGGGGAGATAGTCTGGGTTTATTTTCTAGCTAATTGCAGAGAGGCAGCAGGGAAGCAGTGGGAGGTGTGGGAGCCAGAGAGGAATCTGGTTTTTCCTCCAGGCACTGAATAGCACCTGTTTTGGAATCAGAGATGATTTCTGGAAACAAAGCATCACTTCTCGGGTTCTTCTGCTGAGGGGGTGTGGGGGGACAGCAGGGTGTCAGCACCCTCCCTGACTGCCTTGCCAGGAGGTGACCAGCCAGAGGAGAGTGACAGGCTTCTGCTCATCCTAGCGTGCTGCCCAAACTAGACCAGATTTAACATGAGATAAAAACATCTGCACTAACTACAAAGGAAGAAGTTCTTTATGAAGAGGATGGTGAGGCCCTGGCACAGGTTGCCCAGAGAAGCTGTGGCTGCCCCGTCCCTGGAAGTGTTGAAGGGCAGGTTGCACAGGACTTGGAGCAGTCTGGAAAGTGTCCCTGCCCATGGAAGGGGTTTGGACTAGATGAGCTTTAAAGGCCCCTTTCAACCCAAACCATGGTTCTATAATTCTGTGACAACCCAGCAGCGAGATGCTCCTCAGCGTCCATAAAATGTGTGCGGCCTGGGCCCGGAGGGGAGATGTGGGGATTCAGCCCCTGACAGATGGGAACCTGTGGGGGACTCACAGCATGGCTCTGCTGAGGGTTTGGCCAGTGCAAACCAGGCAGTTGCTCATGAGAAGATGAACCTCCTACCTGGCACAATGCAAAATACCTCGGTTCAGCAACATCGACTCGGGATCTGGCTCTGGCACATCTGAACCAGCTCGGATGACTAAAAAAAAGGATTTTCCTTTCTTCCTCTTCAAGACCTTTAGGAAGGCATCCAATTCACAGCCTCCTGTGCGACAGCTGCGGAAAACAGGTCTGGAGAGGACCTTGAAATGTCACCCCAGAATCGCAGCCCCGTGACTGGGTCTGCACCGGGGCCAAGCACAACAACAGCCAAAAGCACTCCAAGCATTAACAAATATTGTTGCTCGGCGCACTCCCGCACAGCTGCCAGCCTTATCTGCCGCCTGCTCCCTCCAGCACTGCAGCACTCAGCACACACACGCTCATGAGAGCATCTTCTACGGATTTATAGGAAGAGCAATTAGAGTTTCGGTCGCTGATGACAGCAGAGAATCGCGGTGGTGGTGGCGGTGGCGGTGGCAAAGATGCTTCGTGCTGATCCATCAACACGACAAACCACCTCCTCTCCTGCAGGAAATCTCTACAACTGAAGAGCAGGATCAGACCCCCCAAGAGCCCAGAAAGATATCAAGACAACCCCAATTTGTGTCCTGCTTGCCAGGAGCCACCATCTCTCCCCACAAAGCTCACACACACGGGTACTCACCAGGACCCTTGGTTTTCTTTCAAATCGGTGACGCTCCCTTCGCTCCTCTGACCATTTCCTGAGGAACAACGGAGAGAGGAAGAAACAAAACAAAAACCGCCATCAGATCCAGGGCTGAGTGTCTGGTTAATAAAGGCCAGCTCTGGAGACACCTTCTGCTGGCACAATGAGGAATCACCGAGGCAGGCCTGCTCCTGCTCTGCTACCACACGTGTTTCCACGGTCAGTTCGTCTGCTCATCACCCTCCCCTGTATCACAAGATCACCTAGCAACACCGTGCCATGGAGGTGCAAACCCACCCCGTCCTCCCACTGTATCACATCTCCTGTGACAGCTGGGAGATGAACACTTCGGAAACGGATCACATCCAGGCAGCTTTGGCTGCTTCGCCCATCCCACCCCCCCCCAGCTAAACACTGTGGGATTATCAGCTTCCTGGGGCTTTCTACAACCACAGTTCTGTTGTCAGTGGTACCTCAGTGGTACCCACGATGGTACTTGCAGGGGTGCCCGCAATAAACCCACATCCCAGAGGTGCTGGGGTGCAGAGGGGGAAGGTGTATGACCAGTGTCCTCCCAGCTCTGCCCATAAAAGTCTCCCGTCCCTCTTAGCTTGGGGAAAATCCTTGGAGAAATGGAGCCCTACAGAAGCTCCTGGCCACCACTTGCACTTGCAAATGATGGAGACGGTGTCTCCAAACAGGCTGGCATTTCCAAACAGGAGGCTGACACCTCCCCGTGGGAGGTGTTGGGTGAGTGGAACTGTCACCAGCACTTGCCAGAGGAGATGACAAAACACACTTGATGGCTGATAACACAGGTTACCTACAGGGTGGTTGTTGAGGGATGAGGTGGCCCAGCAGCTTGCCTGGAGGTGGGCAGGGCTCAGGGTTGATGAATGAGATCAGCAGGAGGGTGCTTTGGGGGACCTGACTCCATTTCAGCACAACCTCAAGGACTGAGACCCCCACCAGCAGGCAGCCATCATATTAACAGGGTCCTGAGCCCACCTGGTACAGTTTGTGGGGGTCTCCTCCTGGGTAAGGGCAGAGAGGAAGACCACCATGGCACATATGATATGGGAGTGCACAGCTGGAAATTCCTGGTGTGGTTCAGCAGTCAGATGGAGACGCAGTATTTGCATGCCAAAGAAGTGATGATCTGGGGTATTTTCCCTAAAAGGGCACCACCAGCTCACACCTTGTCCTTAAACCTGGGTTTGCACCTGAGTTTTGGCCAGGGTCAAGGGGTTGCCATCAACCCATGGAAGCTGCAAGGGAAAAGGGATCTCTATGCCAAAGCTTAGTGGTGTGCAAAGCAAGGAAACAGGTAGTCAGTTGCGTGTAGTCTCTCAATTTCCTTCCTTCTCCAGGCAGCCCTTGCAATGGGTTTACTGGGACAGGGCCCACCAGTCCTATTTCCCATTACCCATGACATAGGGAAGCAACTGGGATCCCTCTCCCACCCACTCATTGCTTTCAGATGGAGGCACTGACCTTGAGTCAGCCTTTATGGGATTCTCACTGTCATGATTTTCACGGGAAGGTGACAACAACATTTTTCAAGTGGGGCTGACACCTGCATGACTGTCCCAGGATGGAGGGACCGAGGGGCTCTGAACACCCTGCCCAACCCACTGAACTGGTAAGATAATTTCTGCGCATGCACACCCCGGGAACGGAAGAAAACCACGAAGGGTAACCTTTGTGGTGGTCTTTAATTTTCCTTCTCACGCTCCTACGAGCACCAGCCTGAGGACATTTAGGCAGTAGGCAACGCATGGAGCACAGAGTGGCTGCAGACCAGCACCAGGGCCAGGATCAGCCCCAGGAAAGGGATTTCCCTGCAGCTAATGAGTCCATCTGCTTTCAAGAGCATCCAGCTGCTCTGACCTTGTGCTCTCCAGCACGACCTCCTTCCTTAGCCCCAGCCCTGTTCAGATCATTAGATGACAAGGAACTGCCACTGCTGAGGACTAATGGCCCGTTTGCCACTCAGCAGCCACAAGTGATCAGCAAGGGGGCAAAGAGCTTAGTGCAGGCCACTGTCAGCATGTCCATGTGGGTCAGCACCGTCCTCTTTGTTTAGGACAAAATTCCTGGAGAACGCTGCAAAATTCCTGCAAAGCCCTGGCTTCCCTCCAGAGCTCATCAGCTTTGCTGAGGCTGATGCACAACCCCCTCCCAGCACCAGGGCAGGGGCTGGCATTCTGTTTCCCAGGAGCAGTGCTGGGCTTCAGCTCTAACTTCTAGCTAAATTCTCCTTCTCTCTACAGGTCCTTCACTGCAGCTGCTCCCCACGGCAAGGGCAACTCAGGGACGCAACATCTTCCAGAGCAACACCTCGTTGTAGACAGGTGAGGGCTGGTGTCTTCTCACAAGCAATAGGAAGAGAGGAAACAGCCTCAAGTTGCACCAGGGCAAGTTTAGATTGGATATGAGGAGAAATCTCTTCACAGAAAGGGTTGCCAAGCCCTACATAGGCTGTGGTAGAGTCACCATCCCTGGAGAGATTAAAAGCCATGTAGATGTGCCACCTGAGGATACAGGTTAGTGGTGGCCCTGGTCATGCTGGGGGAACAGGTGATCTTAAAGGTGTTTTCCAACCTAAACGATTCTGTGATTCTATGATTTCACCTAAAAGAAAATAAATCACTGTTTGAGGTTCAGGAGAATCCTCATGGGGCAATAAACGGGAGTTTCTGGGCTAAGAAAAGGCTGCACCCCAATCACAGTTTCATTAACCCACTGCCATGAAGAACAGAGGCTGTGAACAACCACAGTCATGGTCCACCCTCTGAGCCAGTGGACAGGGAGCTGAGGAGGATGCCCTGGTGCCCTTGCAGCAGTTTCCAAAATAGGATGGGTATTGCTGAGAGCAGCCCAGGATTTGTTCTCCCGTTCCCAGAACACACGTGCAATGAAAAGCTACAGATCAACCAGTCTTGCCTGTGGCTTCCCCCTCAGCCACAAGGCCCCTTTTAGCTTCTTGGGGTGGTTTGTAGATGAATAGAACACACCCTCCTGGATATGACATTGAAGCCTAATTACCCTCCTTGAGCACATCACTGACGTGCCACATCAGCTCACTCGGGTCTGTTCCTCTCACCACGTGCCTCTGGAGGTGGAGCTTCTGCCTGTCTTTGGAACACCGACCTCTCCATCCCCCAGCTGGGGTGGGCTGCAGAGCTGGAAAGGACAGTTCCCAAACAAACTGGTGACAGGCCACGCTGGTCCTGCTCTTGAGATCAACCCCGTGTGAAGAAACAGACTTTTATCACAGAATCACAGGAGAGTTTGGGTTGGAAGGGACCTTTAAAGACCATACAGTCCAACTCCCCTGCCATCAGCAGGGACACCTTCGACTAGATCAGGTTGCTCAGAACCCTGTCCAGCCTGTCCTTGAACGTTTCCAGGACTGGGGCATCCACAGCTTCTCTGGGAAACCTGTGCCAATGTTTTACCACACTCACTGCAAAAAACTTCTTCCTAACAGGTAATCTGATTGATGAATTTAAAACCATCACTCCTTGTCCTATTGCAACAGAATCTACTATAGAATCTCTTTAGGCACTGGAAGGGGCTCTCAGGTCTCCCTGGAGCTTCTCTTCTCCAGGTGAACCCCCCCAGCTCTCCCAGCCTGGCTCCAGAGCAGAGGGGCTCCAACCCTCAGAGCATCTCCATGGCCTCCTCTGGACTCGCTCCAGCAGGTCCACATCCTTCCCATGCTGAGGAAACCCAGAACTCTCTCCAAGGTGTCCACACTGGGAACACCCCTGCCCTCAACAGAACAAGCACTCACACGCTCCCAGTGGACTCCCGAGGATTCCATCCGTGCTTTAGCCCTGACCAGCCAGCAGCTGGAATTTAGTTCACCTGAAGCACAGGGTAGCCCTGGACTGACAGCCAGCAGCATGGACCATGGGCATGGCCTTCCCTGGGTCAGTGCCAAGGGGTGATTCCTCAGGGACAGCCTGATGAACCCGTACCAGACCTTGCCATGCCGGGTAGGATTCAGCTCCAGATTAAGGCGTCTCAGCTGGGGTGCCCACGTGCAAATCCTGGATTTAGTTGGCATGTTGGATTCCCCAAGCTATCCAAGACCCATGTGTGGCACTTCCAGATATGACCCTGGACCTCTTGATTCACAGATGGAGACTAAGCAATGTGTCTTAAGGTAAAAACAGACACCTGTGTTCAGCAGCTGAATCATGACCTACACATGTGGTGGCTGTCCCAGCTCTCACTGCAGTCCATGGGGATGCAGTCAGCATGATCTGGGGTGTTTGGTGAGCCATTTAGTTACTCAAACATCAGTATCTATTTTGGGGTGTGAAACACCCTCCAGACTCCACTGTTCAAACATCCACCGACTCTAACAGGAGATTAGCACCGAGTTAATATTTTTATCTCCCACTGCAGCCCACCTCCAGCTCCTGGTCCAAGTTTCAACAGCTCCAAAATAAAACCCATTTGCATTGGATGAGGATGCCCTCCAGCTCTGCAGTCTCAGGCCCCTGCTGTGATGAGCAGCACAATCCTGGCACGTCAACACTTCCAAGGATGGTTCCAGTGTTTGTGTGCCTCCTGCATAATAGCACTGAAATAAATAAATTTGACAAAGAAAGGAAAAGGAACAACTGATATGCAAACCCATGTCATGAATCATTCACCAAGTCTGCTCTCCAGTTTTCCAATAATCTTGGAGGTTGCTTCCAAAGTGCTGTTTGCAAACCCTCTGTTAATCTGGGAAGCAGATGCTGCTACAGGCTGTGTTACAGCATCTTCAATAAATCCCCAACAAATATTACTTTAAAATGCCCAGGACTTTTTCAACCAGTTGTTTTTTACATCTTCTTGGCATATCTGAAAACCTAACACCATAAAAAACCCCTTTGCTGTGATTCAGCTTTAACAAACAAGCCTAAGCCTGGGGAAGAGCTCATCTCATATCTCCCCTCACGCCTAGGTAACCCCAAACTCCTCCCAGAGGAATCTTACCATTTCCTTCATATGCTCTCAAAAGTCTTTCACCTCACCAGACACATAAGTGGATCA